CTCTTGACTGCTGGCACCAAGGGTGTTTGTTAATTGTGAATCCAAGTAAGGTGAAATTGTTGACAGTTTCAATCTTTTCTCCATCTAGTACGATGTTGCTTATATATCCATTGGTAAGAATTTTTGTTTTCTTGACATTGAGATGCAATCTATATTGAAGGCTGTATTCTTTGATCTTCTGCAACAAGTGCTTCAAGTCCTCACTTACAGCAAGATTTTGTTATATGCAAAACGCAGGTTACTGATGAGTCTTCTTCTGATTTTGACACCACATTCTTAATCTTCATAGACTCCAGCTTCTTGAAAAATTTGCTCAGCATACAGATTGAATAGGTATGGAGAGAGAATACAAACCTGATGCAAAGGCCTGGTCATAATGAAAAAACTCAGCATCTATAAACTAGAAGATGACCACATCGAATCACAAAAATGGAGAATCACTACGTCTCACATAACTGCCATATCACATCAATACATAACTGTCAAACCACAGAGAATGATGGCCCAGCCAAGTTGATACGTAACTTGAACCATTAGAACAAGCATTACTCGTGCTTCCTACCTCAGTTCTGGATACTGCCAGGCATACACTGTTAATGTGCAAAACAGTCAGAGAGGGGATGTTTCACTACTGTTATAAATGGAAAGGATGGATAAGAAGATAGTTGATAAGTGATGAACACATGCATATTACCTAAATTAAAATACATGAAAAGTATAAAAAACTCATTTTTTCCCTTTTAAAAAAGCAATATATACTAATAAAAGACTATATCATGTGATTTACATGAACTTATTTCTTCATTTGACTAAACAATATAGAGCCTGTTCCTTTCTAAACCCCTCCAAGACAACTCTTACCACAATGATGTAATCACAAATGAATTTTGGACTCTATGACAAAATCTCCTCTAATTCTGAACATTGTTTCCTCAGCCCAAGTTAGGAGAGAAAGAGAGTTATCTAACAGAAAGCAACTTTTATGTCATTTTTAATATCCTTCCCTGAGATAGTCCCTCATTTTCATTCTTCTCCTATCAGTAAGGATAATGAAATCAGTCTCCATTTCAGTTATCTGTTCTTTATCTGCTGTCAGCAATGACTGCGTCAGATTTGGCAGCAGATGCTTTCCTTTTATAGACATGGGAATTTAAGTTGATCCAGTCAATGAGAGATCCTTTTTAAGAAAACATACCATGTAAGATGTTGGACTCTTATCAGAGCTATAAAGTAACACTTAACCTAAAGTCATCATTAGGGAAAGAGGAGGAATAAGATAATTTTTTTTTTCTGCTAGAAAATACAACTGCCTTTTACTCACTGTCAAGAACAACATAATGGGAAAATTGAAGCATTATTAAAAAAGGAAACTTGAGACCTAAATCTAGATCATTTCTAGATCCTGTCTCCTGATTACAGGATTTATCATAGAATGTTCTGACTGAAATAATCATCCTCTTTCCATTAGGATGGTTATTATCAGAAAATGGAAAAAAAACCTAGCAAATGCTGGCAAGGATGTGGGAACACTGCTGCTGGAATTATAAAATGGTATATCCACTATGAAAACAGCATGGCAGTTCCTCCGAGGTAACAAAAACAAGCCCATTGCCACTGTGAGCTGATTGCAACTCACAGTGAACCCACAGGAGAGCCGAAATGCCACTCAGGGTTTCCTACAGCACAAATAATCTTTACAAAACTAGACTTCCACATCTTTCTCCCAGAGAACAGTTCATGAGTTCAAACCACTGACCTTTCAGTTAGGAGTCAAGTAAACCACTGAGCTAACAGTGTTCCTCCCCTAGCAACTCACAGGTAAAATCCCAAAAGAACTGAAAGTGGGGACTCAGGGATACTTGTACACCAGTGTTAATTGTAGCATTATTCACAACAGCAAAAATGGGGAAATAACTTAAGTGTCCATCAACAGATGAAAGGATAAATAAAATGTGGCAGATACATACAACAGAACATTACTCTACCATAGAGAAATGAAATTTTGACAGAGGAACCTTGAAAAATTTATATTTAATAAAGTCAGAAACAAAAAGGTAAATTTTTTTGTATAAGCAAAGATTTATTAATTGCTAGTAACTTTTTTCTTTAGAAAAGGTTTTACTGTACATTTTAAAAAATTTATAGTGGTTTATTTACAAAGTTCAAATACATTGTTTTTCACACTGGATCTTTCCCATTTCCTTCACACATACCCCCATCAAATTGTGCGAGCCTATGATTTTGCAAACTACTGCCTAACTTGAGAGGTACTGGAGAACGTTATGCTGTGTGAACTAACTCAGTCCCATAAGGACAAATACTGTATAAAACCATTATTGTAGAATAAATATGAAGATCCAAGGGGGGGAAGGTGCTAATAACTTTTTTTCCTTTTTTAAAAATAATTTTAATGAGCATTTACAGAGATTTTGGATTTCCATTCATTCATTGCAAAGGTAAATATTTTTAAATCCCAATTTTATGAACTATCCAGAGTAGGCAAATGGATATTCAGCAAAGTTAACTAGTTATTATAGAGATGAATCAGGGTGCAAGGAATGATAATGTATTAAGGGTACCAAGCTTACAATAATGCTGACAAGAACATTTCAAAACAGTGTAACATTTTACAACACAGGGAAATATAATCGATGTCATTGAATTAAACATGTAAAAAGGATTGAAGTGTTGTTACATATATCCATAATAAAAAAATTTTTAAATCTATAAAGAACGTGGAGAGCTTTAAAAATTTTTTTTACTGTGATAATTACAAAGAGCATATACAAACATATTTGTTTGCTCTTTTGACAGTCCTTGGGATGTTCAGTACTCTTCTCTGATATCACAGCTCAAAAAAAAAAATCAATTCTTCTTCTGTCATCCTTAGTCATCGTCCAGCTCTTAGATTCATAGAAAGTGATCAGAAAGACCATGGCCTGAATCAGAAACCTTAGTCCTCAAATTGATACCATGTCTCCTCAATAATTTAGAGAGGTCCCTAACTGCAGACTTTCCTAGTGCAATACATTATCTGATATCCTGACTGCTGGTATCAAAGGTGTTGACTGGGGATCCAATTAAGATGAAGTTGTTGACAGTTTCAATCTTTTCTCCATTTATCACAATGTTGCCTATGGGTCTAGTGATAAGAATCTGTTTTCTTGATGTTGAGATGCAATCCATACTGATAGCTGTATTGTTTGATCTTCTTCAACAAGTGTTATGCTTCCCATACTTCAGGTATGTTTCTATGAGAAGCTATTCTTGGAGAGGGACATCATATTTGGAAGGGTTGAAGGTTGGCGAAGGAGAGGAAGACCCTCAACCAGGTAGACTGACACAGTGAATGCTGCCATGGGCTGCAGGGTGTCAGAAAGTGTGAGGATGGCACAGAATAAAACAGGGTTCTAATCTTTTGTTCATAGGGTTACTATGGGTCACATTCAACTCAATGGCACCTAACAATAACAATATACATTCACATAAACCCACACCTCACCATTCTTCCCTATATATACACAAAACGTGTATCATTTCACCATTTCTAAATGTATAATTAAGTTACATCAATCACATTATACAGCCATCACTGCTATTTGTTTTAAATTTTTTCCATCAGGACCTATATCAAGCAATGACTTCTTCTTTCACCGTCCCTCACAAACTGGCTACCATGAATAAAGTTTATTTACACATTTGCTACTGCGAATATTTCACATAGGCAGGATCATGTAACATTTTTCCTTTTGTGAAATGCTTACATCAGTCATTTAGCATAATAACAACAAGGTTTATTCATGATGCAGAATCTATCAGGAGTTCATTTATGAAGCATGCTTTAAACCTATATTTAGGATACAGAAAATGACTATTTATACACATATACACAAAAACATAATCCTGTCAAAAGGCCCAATATAATCTGATTTTATCCCTCATAAATGTTAGAGAGAAAAGACTTGCTTATTTTCATTGACATTGAAAACTAAATCCTAGAATATTTAAAAAATAAAATTGACCAAAACATTATCAGCATCACACCTATAGTCTGATATTAATTAAACACATCTGGGATTATTTCCTTCGCTTACCTGAACAGTAATTTTCTCTCGTAGGTTCACCAGGATAACTCGGGCTAATAATAACAGTATAGGTTTCAAGGTGAGGCTGTAGATTGATTCACCATCAAGAGCAAGTAGACCCAGAATAATTCCATCCATCCTTTTAGGCTAGGGAAAAAAAAAAAGTCTAATAGTAATATAAATAGTTGAGGTTTTAGATTAAAAGTTGGCTTTTCTAACCATTATGTTAACCCTCTCTGGTCTCCAATACCTTAACTGCAGACACACATTCTTGGAAATCATCAACAACTGTGGCACTAAGATGAGAAAGAGAGAGAAAAAGAGAGAGAGGGCTTCCTACACTGAGGATCTAGACTTGAGGGAGATTGGAGCAAGATCCTAGTGATGATAGTGGAAAGATCGTGGCATTGCTATGGAGAAACTGTGGCAAGGTGTAACCAGAAGGGCCCTGGGATAAAGACCACGGCCACAGTTAAAAGTTTTGCTGTGCTTGTCAGATGACTGAATAAGAAAGTGACTTTAAAAAAAAAATATTTATTTTTATTTATTTCTAATTTGGTGTACCGTTGAATTGGATCCAACGGGCACAGGAGGAATTTGCCCCTCCTTCTCTAGCAGTGCATCTGGTGGATTTGAACCACTCACCTTCAGGATTGCAGTGCAACTTCTTTCCTCTAGGCCACCAGAGCTCCTTGAGAAGGTGTCTTTTAACTGCTCTGAAGCAAACCTTGTTGGATGACTAAGGAAACCAGAGGCTTCTCAAATTTGTGTTGCTGAACTGAAATCAGGATTCTTACTAATTAAGGAATTATGTTTTGCTATTAATCTGGCTTGGGACTGCTGAACTAAACCTGGACATGTATTGGGTGATATTCTATGCTTCTTCCACTCTTTTATATCCCTAATAAACCCCATTCTTGGTACCACAACTGCAGTAAAGTCTGTGAGTCAACAACGAGTATCAAACCCAGAGACTGGTGAAAATAGGTACAGGTGTACAGGGGTTGGCATTTCTGACCTAACAGTTATGAATCAGGCAAAAGTCAGACTCGCCACTCCCATACCCCACACTGCAGCTGCTCCTTTAGTAACTGGTTTCAGGAGAAGTGGGCTTCATTGCTCCAGGGTCACAGAAACATAGTTTGGTTTTGTAAATGTGGGGTTTGAAAAGATGTACAGATGAAATGGTAACTATTTGTTTCAACAAAGTGGGGGAGAAAACCCGAAAGATTACTTCTGCTGCTACTAAGATGAAAAGAAAAGCTGAATGAATGAATGGAATTCCAAAATTTCTGTAGATGTTCACTGAAATGAAAAATAAACAAACTAAATTAATAAAAAAAAAAAGAAAGAAAAGCTGAGAAGCTGCTTTATGGCCGGAGGAAAAAAAAGGGTAGAGAATGAAGTTGAAACTTAATTCCTTGAAAGGTTTATGTTAAGGTTTTTAACTTTATAAATATTGTTGTTTCTGTTCCTTTGGTTCATATAGTAACGTTAAGATGTATTTTAATAATATACTTGATGAATGTTGATGTAGCTTTTGAGGAAAAATATAAGCAGTTGCATATTAATTGGGATTTCAAAAAGGAAAAATTTGCACTAAAAAATGCTTATAGTAAGTAGTAGAATTTGGTATAGAGTGTGGAGCTTAGCCCAAAAAAGATTAAGCCCCACCCAGTAATCTGAGGAGTTACACTTGAAAAAAGACAAACAGAAAAAGACTTTGCCAATAAACAGAGGCAAGGTGAAGCTGATGAATGTGCTTAACTCATGAGGACCACCTGGGTCTACTTGATGAGAGGAAGGAGGAAGCATCAGAAATCCCTTGCCAGGACTTTAAAGTTAAAGGAAGCAAGTGGTGTGCTCATGGTGACCACCTGGGTCATTTGATGAGTGGAAGTGGGAGAGATGCAGTAATGAAGAGACAGGCTGAGTCTGGACATGTTCCTTCAGCACTGTCCACTTAGAATGAAGAATGGATAAATAAAGAAGGGTTACTGGATTATGAAACAGGGAGCCCTGGGTATCCCTGATGTGCTGACTTAGCCCATGTGGGGCTAAGGCTGAATAAAGGAACCAGCCAGTCTGAAACACAGGAAGAAGTATGGACTTCTCAGTTTGCGGCTCATGCTTGTTTGGACCTAGCCATGGATGGCTGGGGATGCATAGACTAGGACCCAACCAGATGAAAAGCTGTTTCACTCTGAGAGCTAGTGTTGATTACTGTTACCTACTGGATTGCTCTGGACTGAACCTTTGTTTATAGATGCATATGCAACTGTAATGGAAGATTCTTCAGAGAAAAAGACATGCTTGTTTCCTCAGACTATTATTTTGATAGGATTGGGCAAGTAAGAAATGGAATTCTCTAAAATGGGGGGATTAAGACATAAAGATTGAAGCCACTAGCTTACATATTTTTCTAAATATAGATGATGGTAAGGGGAAGGCTGAGCCTTCAGACAATGAGAAATAATAACTAGAGAAGTCATGGGGTAGGCCACAGTGTTAACTTAAAAGTTGGCTTTTCTAGCCAATATGTTAGCCAGCCTCTGCAGATGCATGGTCTTGCAATCATCAACCGCTGTAGTACTAGGATAACAGAATACTCCTCATACTGAGGATCTAGACTTGAGGGCTAGCGCAGTGAGACCTTGTTTGTGAGACCCTGCTAATGGTGGAGGGGAGACTGTGGCAAGGTGTAACCAGAGCAGCCCTAAGATAAAGGCCACATTTAAAGGTTTTGTTGTGCTTGCCAGATGAGTGGAAGGAGAAACTAACTTCTAATTGCTCTGAGACAAATCTTGCTGGATTACTGAGAAAACCACAGGCTTCTCCAATTTGTGTTACTAAACTGAAACTAGTACTCTTACTAATCAAGGCATTGTGTTTTGCTATTAATCTGGCTTGGAACTGCTGGACTAAACCTGGACATGCACTGGGTGATATTCTTTGCCTCTCCTATGCTCCAACCTATTTCCCTAATAAACCCTAATCCTGGTTCATAACTGTGCGTAAAGTCTGAGAGTCAACCACAAATACTGAACCCAGTGGCCGGTGAAAACAGGTGCAGGAGCACGGGGGGTTGTGTATCTGGCCTAGTAGCCGTCTGCTGCTCTGGATATTACTGAAAGTTCCCCTTTATGATGTGGGCAGAGTCAGGCTTGGCCACTGCCATCCCCACTTTACAGCTGCTCCTTTCACAACAGTTAAACAAAATATGGATCTATGTATGTTTCACAAAGGAGACACATAAAGATTATCCACTTTTACATGATGCTAAAGGAGTTGTGCTGCAAAGGCAAGTGGTTTAAATCTAGTTGCTCTGTGAGAAAAGGATAGGTAATCTCCTCCCATGTAATTTACTGCCTCTGAAAAGCTATTATCAGTCAGTTCTAACTCAACAGTACGTATCAATAACAAAATGTCTCAATATTAACATTAATTTCTCAATTAATTAAGCTTTGATTTCGGCAATGGACAAAAGCATGACACCGCAAACACCATATGAAAAACAAAAATATGTGTCAAGTCAACTGTGACTCACGGTTGCCCCCTGTGGGTATAAGAACTTGGGTTCCAAAGAGATTTGACTTTTCATAAGCAGCCAGAGGCCTTTTTTCCCAAGATGTGTCTGTGGAATTAAACGTCCAGTCTCTGCTAGCAGTTAAACACATTAATTGTTTCACTACACACTATCCAGGGACCTCACAAATGCATTTTTTTAGTAGTAGTAGTAGTAATTATTTCAATGAACATTTACAGAGACTTGGGATTTTCATTCATTCACTGTTACATTTTTCTCCCTACCCACCCACAAATGCTTTTAAAAGATCTACAAATCTAACCTGCCCAAAGGGATGGTCACTCATTTTCTTGAATTTTAGAGCCCCTCTGAATTCTTTAAAACGCTTGCATTAAAAAGCCAATATCATTTCATAGATTTATTTTCAACAAGAATATCATCTCATAATAAGCAGCTCTGCATTACAGTGTTTGTATTAGAAGTACACATTTCACTTAATGCTTTGCTCATTGAAAAATGCAACTAAAAAGCACGTCTGCACCATGGTTCCTATCAAGTTAAACTATCAAGTAGGTTACATGTTAAATGATTAAGTCTACAGACATGGACCAAAAAGAATGCTGAGCAGAGATCTTCTACAATGGCTAAAATTCCTATATTTCTTTCATGCGAGAAGCACAATTTTAACAGCCACCAAAAAACAAAAAAACAGTACAGTTGAACCATTAGGAGCATGGACTTTGATGTCAGTCAGGCTGTAGACTGATTACAATCTAGAGTAAGTGGACTCAGCACAGGGTTCTCTACCTATTATTGGTCAGTGATCTAGGGCAAAACTGTAACTGATGTCTCACTTTCATTATGTATAAAATAGAATACAACAAATAACTCAAAAGTTGGGCTGGAACCAACTAGATGTCACCTAGCAACAAAATGGTGCCTTTGCGGATACTGCTTTCTCTGCTTGGAGGATCAAGTGAGCATTCATTTGTTTACATCCTACCTGTCATTCAGTTAGGAAGCTCAGGTGGATAGGGAATTCTGCTGTCAGCCCAAGGCAGGCAGCTGAAATCCAACCAGCTGCTCCATGGGACTAAGATGAACAATCTCTTCCCGTGTGGTTTACAGCCTAAGAAAACCCACTAATGGGTCAGTTCCAACTTGACAGCAATGGCCAACAGCAACATGATATTTGGTATTGTCACATTATGCTGAATTGCATTTCTTAGAAACGGGCACAAATAGGGATTACTGCCAATCAGATGGCCAGGGAGCTAATTACTTGACAAGACAGTACTTCTGGTACTGTACCTATTTGTTGAAGCATCTCAACAGGAATTCTGTCAATTCTGGAGTGTTGTTTTTCACCAGTGTCTTTAGTGAAGCTGGATTTCGTCCATTACACCTCTGATTCTTGACCATATGCTACCTCCCAGAATGGTTGAAAGTTGTGCAGGAAAAAGCTAAAAGTTACATCTAATACTGTGCTGAAGTTATTGTCTAACTGGTGAGTACAGCTCAGACTTTAAGCAACCTTATTTCCCTGACACCACAATGCCTTACCCTCACAGCTTCCTACTTGAGCCCTGCCCTTCAACAAGACAGAGAGCTTTAATAAGCA